AATGCAAAACCTTGTGCACACTAAACCTGAGCTCCACCCTCAGTCCTAATAACGAAACTATCCACTAAATTTTAACACGAGAAAGAATCAGGCAAACCCTGAAGACAAGCAGTACAACTTGATTCTTGATTCCTTTGTTTTCCAGCCCAAATTCAATGCTAGGCATCTAGTATTATCTTAAACAGAATAGCTTGAAAGCCCAGACATCTGGTTATAGAGGTTCTTTCATTTCTTTTCTTTTTAAAATATACCTCATGTTTTCCGCCTCCAGCTTTATAATAGAATCACCCAAGGAGCTTTTAACAATCCCTAATGCCTGGTGCCTCCCGCCCCTTAGTGATTACCTTGGTGCACTCATTATTTAATCGGTACTGGCATTGTTTGAAAGCTTCCCAGGTGGTTTTTTGTGTGGCCAGGTTGGTGGCTCTAACCTGGTTCTCAAACTTAGTGTCTCACTGGCATTGTTGAACAGGATGCTATCCACGAAACTCTCTGTACTTCCTGGGACTCTTCAGAAGATTTGAAGGATAATTTTGAGCTATAAGGAATTTTCATTTTAATGGCTGTTGGAAAAATTAATTGGGAGATCACTAGACTAAGATAGGCCTCAGGAAACTGGGTTTCTAGTGAGCAAATAGTAACTTAACCAATCAGAAACCAACAGCTAACCTCTAGAAGGGCTTCCTCCCACTTTACTCAGTCATTGCTTTTGTTTCTTTGTGTTAGAAAGGTTATGGGAGTGGCTGGGGAGATAGCTCATGGTCTAAAGTGCCTGCTTAGGCAAGCTTAGGCAAAGCGTGCAGGGACCATGGTTCTGATTCCTGACACCACATGCGGTGGGCCAGCCCCGCCCCTAGCCACACACACACACACACACACACACACACACACACACAAAGTTATGGGAGGATCTGGTTTTGGACTTACCTCTTGCATGAGGGCCCAGCACACAAAACCACACAGTCATTGTGCTAAGTGGTATAATCAAATTGAATTTTGAAAGGGGGCAGTTTTTAAAAAACCTGAGATTCACAGCAATCAGTGAGGCCTCGTCAGTGTACTGCAGCCAATAAGACAGGAAGTCTTTGCTGTTTTAACCCTATAACTGAAGACAACTTGGAAAAAAAAAAAAAAAAACAATCCTAGAGGCACAGTGGTAATATAGATACTACCTGGGCAAAGCTCTAGGGCCGACCCCCCCAACTTTTGTTCTAAGGCTTATGTCATAAGACAGAGATGAAACAACAACAAGGTCCCCAGAGCCTGTTCTGGAAAATTCTGAAATCCCAAACCAGGATGCCTGTGTGCCAGACCTGCTGGCAAGACATACAATATCCTTTCTTGATTTAGAGCTCATTGAAGGTTCACACATATGGACTGCATCTCAGACATCCAATTATGGCACCGTGAATTACGGGACAGTGAGGCTGGAGATTAGGATATGGCAAGCTGGCTGGGCAAGTGGGTATGATATGTCAAACACACACAACCAGGACTCGTGCGTAGAACAGCACACAAGTCTTGTACCTGGCACCAATCAGAGAACGTTATGTTCAATTCTTTTGGCACAGGCTCAAACAGGGTTGCTTGTTTGTTTGTTTGTTTGTTTGTTTGTTTGTTTGTTTGAGACAGGGTCTCACTGTGTAATTCAGACTGGCCTGGACATACTATGTAGCCCAGTCTGATTCTGAACTCTTAGCAATCCTCCTGCCTCAGCCTCCTGAGTGCTGGGATTACAGGCAGGCACCACCACACCTGGCTTCAAGCAGGTTTTTGATAGCATGGTCTCAATATGACATCAGGATGAAGGGATAAAACAGACTAGGGCTTTTGGCCTCCTGGCCTCAACTTTCTCCTTGGGCCACTCTGTCCTCTGAAGAGTGTATTTCTTTTCCTACTTTGATTGCTCTGCACTCATTTTGCAGAGTATACTCCATTACCCTTAGAGTACACTCTTTTTCTTATCTTTAATCCTTTTTTTAATGTATTTGATTGTTACAGGGTCTCACTATGCAGCTCGGAACAAGAGTATCCTCCTGTCTCAGCCTCCCCAGTGCTGGGTTTATAAGCGTGCACCGCTATGCCCTGTTTCAGTGGTTGGCACAGTTTAGGTCCAGCATGGTATGTGGTACTGGGGATCAAACCCGGGCCCTTGTGCTTGCCAGACAGGTGCTTAGGCTGCCAAGCTAGCTCCCCAGCCCCAACATTTTAAATTCTTAAGCCCATCGCTTTCAGTGATGGCCATTCCTCCACCAGCATGAGCCTGCTCACTGAGCATACCATTGCCTGTTTCCAACTTGGTTACATTTTTCCTTCCTATTGCATGCTCTGCATCCAATTCTTTGTTCATCATGCACAGGAGATTAAGAACATTGTCATCCATAGTAACAGTGGCACCTGCCTATAATCCTAGCTACTTGGAAGCTGAGGTAAGAGGATGACAAGTCTGTGGCCAGCCTGGGGAGCTTAGGAAGACCCTGCCTCAAAATAAAATAAAATAAAATGAAAAGCTGAGACTGTAACTGGAAGTGTAGCTAAGTGGTAGAGCCCTTGCTGAGCATGTGGGAGGCCCCAGGTAGGTGATAGTGGCTCGTTAGGGACAAGTGCCCAAATGCCAGCCAAAAACCCATTTATCGCCAAGTGCCAACACGACTATTCACCCTGAATACTGAGGTTTTAGTTGAGAAAAAAAAAAAAAAAACTCTATATTAACATCCTTTGTCTTAAAGGAAAAACAAATAACACGTGTGTGATGGGTTGGACACCACTGCCTTAGATTCGATCTTCAGTATTGAAAGAGAAAAAGAAAAGGAAGAATACACCAAGTCACTTTTTGTTACCCCTTTCTGTTTTCCTTAACTTTTTCTTCTATGAAGTCTACCTCCTCTGTTCAGCTTATCAGAAAATCCGTTTAATAAAACAAAATCCCCCCAATTCCAGGATCACTAATAAAAGCCAAGTCCATCTTTACTGTAACTTTTTGTGGTACTGAAGGTTGAACCCAGGACCTCCAGCACACTAAGCAGGACTTTTACCACTGAGCTACCCACACTCCTAGCCCGCTCATTAGATCTTTAGCTAAATGTGTTGGCATGTTGTCTTTTGTATTTCCTTCCAGTACTGGGAATTGAAACCCAGGGCCTCCCGTTAAGCTATACCACCAGCTTTTTTATTTTTTTTTTATTTTGAGATTGAATCTCACTAAGTTGTCAAGTTGCCCAGATGGGGCTTGAACTCGCCATCCTCTTGTCTCAGCCTCCCAGAGTGTGGGGATTACAAGCAGGCACCACCAAGACCGGCTCATTTGGTCTTTGACACTTTTAAGAACAGCTTGCCCTGGCCTCCCTTCAGTGGAGCCCATGCTCCCTGCAGTCTGGTGCCACCTGGTTCATGAATCTCTGCCTGGTCAAACAAGCTAAGACTCATATGCCTTGGTGGATCTTTGAACAGTGCTTACTTCAGAAGTCAAGTCCAACATGAGATTGTGTCAACCCATCACAGGACCACGCGGGCTCCTTAGAGCATCTTGGACAGCAGGCCCACCGGGAAGAACCTGGCCTAGGGGTGTGCACACGTCCTGGGGGGTTGGGCACCTGGTAGAGAGAACTGTGGTACTCACTGCTGCAGACATCTCCTGCCTGGAAGAGCTCGGTGGTGAGAAGAACTAGCCCATAGTAAGAAAACGCATTGGAAAACCTGCAGGAGCAAGCACAAAGGCAAAGAGATGGTCAGACAGAGGCAAGACCCCTTTCTCCTTCTCCCTGGGAAGGGTCTGTGTCTGCAGCAGTGTGGACCTGGCTTTGGCCCACCTTGGGTCTGTGGGCACTTTCTTGGGTACCTCAAGCAGGAGGGTGGTAGGTACGAAGCTTAGTACTGTGATAAAAGGAAGTGATTCTGTGTCTTTTGAAAGATTAAGCTTGAGAGCCAGCCGCAGTAGCACATGTGTATAATGTCAGTTTTCAGGAGATTGAGGTGGGAAGATTGTAAATTCAAGGTCAGCCTGAGCGATCTAGCAAGACGTCGTCTCAAAGTTAAAAATGGAAAAAAGGACTGAGAATGTAGCTCAGTGTGAAGGCACTCCTCTCCCCAGTGAAATGCAAAGCAGACTGGTGATGTAGCCCAGTGGCAGAGCACAAGGCTGGCATGAGTAAGGCCTTGGGTTAAGTCCCCTCCACCACATGTACACATACAAATATCAAGACTGATAGTATAAGGGGCCGGGGAGATGGCTCAGTGGAATAAGCGCTTCCCTGGCAAGCGCAAGGGCCTGAGTTCAATCCCTGGTTCTGAAAAAAAGGAAAAGAAAAAGAAAAGACTGATAGTATATCTCAGAGACCTGCCTCCCCCAGAGCTGTCTACTCAACTGATATTAGGAGAAAAAAATTATGTGGGTCAACATTTGGAAGCAAACAGCCCCAACGACACCTATTAGAGTTTGTCCAATTTGATGAACAAGATGTTGGAATTTCAGAGGAGAATCGGCATAAAGATCATTGTAGGGACAGAGGACAGACTCCTGGCCTTTCTCCTCTTACTTACTACAAACATGATTTGTGTCTTCTCCTGAGGCAAGTAGGGACTTGAAACCATTATTGCTAAAGCAAAACAATTAAATCACAAACAAACAAGCCTCAGGGATTCTTCAATATGGGCCTAGTCGCCCAGTGGAGAGCTAAGCTTGATCTTCACTTTGGCTCTGTCTCTTATGTTACCTTAACACTTTGAGTCTGACCCTTCCTCAGCTTTATATACAGATGTGTTAATCGCCTGTGTAAAAGCTGCCAAACAAGGTTGCTTCGCCCTAAACTTACACAGCCTATCTTGTCTCCCTTCAAGATCCAGGAAACCAGGGTAAAAGAACTCAAAGCCATTCAACTACAAGTGGGTGACCCAGGTCTCCAGTCTTTGAACTAAGACTGCAGCCACCACAGATCCCAGCAGAACCCTAAGAACTGGGATGGCCCCAGCAGAGGCAGCCATCTACTGGGGACTGGAGGAAGCCAGGAGCTTTCTCCAGCACTCTCAGACAATGGTCAGTCGGACCCTCGTCCACATGGCCCCTCTATAAAACCTGGCCTCATTCCATGTTAGTGGGCGAGCCTGATCCTGTCTAGCTGCCCACTCTGAAGCAAGGCCCTTAGCTATTTTCTCATACTAACTCTGCTTAGCCTGTGTGTCTCACTGACACCTCCCAAAGTGCCTTTCTGCAACAACTCATCAAGAATGTACCCAGAGGGGCCGGAGAGATGGCTCAGTGGAATAAGCGCTTCCCTGGCAAGCACAAGGACCTGAGTTCAATCCCAGGTTCCGCAAAAAGAAAAAGAATGTACCCAGAAAAAAAAAAAAGAGTGTACACAGGCCCATTTGAGGTTCTTATCTCCTCTTTGGGCCCCATCAATGGCAAGATGACTATTTATTAATTTCTGATTGGCCCTAGAGCTGGGGTATTCAAGTTTGGAGGACCAGAGCATTCATACGCAATAGAACAGTTATAATTAGAAGCCAAACCTGAGTTTCACTGGGTTACAATTTGTGCTAGCATTTTTTTTTTTTTTTTAATTTAGTACAGGGTCTACCGGGTCTCACTACACAGATTGGACTCGTAGTGATCTTCTTGTTTTCAGCCTCCCAAGTGCTGGAATTACAGGCGGGGCTGGCACAGCATCCTGGGGCTCGAACCCTGGTCCCTGCGTCTGCCTAAGCAGGCGCTTTAATCTGCTGAGATATTGGGATGACCCTACGCACTAGCTAATTTTTATTTTTTTGCAAATTTTTAAATTTTAAATTTTTAAAATTTTTTGTGGGGCTGGGGAGGAAGCTCAGTAGAGTAAGTGCTTGCCTAGCAAGCATAAGGGCCTGAGTTCAATCCCCGGTTATTTATTAGAAATAAATAAATAAAATAAATTTTTTGTGATACTGGAAATTGAGCCAAGAGCCTCTGTACTGAGCTATATATCTACTCCATGTGTCCCCACATTTTAAGAAAAAAAAATTTTTTTTTTGAGATAGGATCTCACTATGTAGTTCAGGCTGGCCTTGAACTCACTATGTAGCCCAGGCTGGCCTCAAACTTGTGATTCTTCCTCAGCCTTCCAAGTGCTGGGATTACAAGCATGTGCCAGCTAGTACATTTAGTGTATCTCTCCCTTTTTGAGACAGAATTTCCATAAGGCATTAAATGGCTTAGTCTGGGTTTACACTTTCCAGTTTTCTGCTTCCACCGTGCCCATTTTACACTAGCAAATTTAATGACTTTGATAGTGCACTAATATTAGTCTCTCATTCACTGCTTCAGGACTTGTATAGTGCAAGCCCAGAAGAATTACATACAGTTAGGTGTATGTAATCTCAACTCTGCAAACCCAGCCCCACAAGCATCCTGCAGACTCCACATTTGTATTGGGCACCGCAGGTGTTTAATAAACGCTTAGTGAATTGATTCAGCTCTTAGGAATGCGGGGGCAGAACTGGAGCTCAGGTCTGTATATTATCAAAGGTTTTCTCTCTTCCCAGCAATCAACCACTTGCGGAGGCTCCCCTGCTAATTAGCACCCTTGTTCAAAGGTGAATAGGTAAATTGAGAACTGGTTAAAAAAGGAATCAAGGCTTTAAGCCCGGCCAATTTTGCATAGGGTTGCTGTTATGTACATGGGTTAGTACAAAGTGAATGGAAAGAGTGGGGGAAATTTGGCTCGCTTGAAGTTTCAGGTAATTGCTCACTCTGTACTCCCGCCCCGCTGCGCCTTCCTGAGGCTGTTGTTTCAGAAAAACTGAACAGGGCCAGAACCAGAAGTTTCAAGAATGGCCATGGTGACTGATGGCAGAGAAACAGGCAGAAGGAAAAAGGGAAAGGGGCTTTATTATCTCTGAGGACACGGAGAGAATCTGGGGAAGACGAGGAGTTCTCTGGATTGGAACAAAGCGAGGCTGAGGCTTTCGTGCCCTGTTGTCAGGGGTAGAGTTTGAAGGGGATGTTTAGATCTACCTGAGGAGCTGATGGGGGTCTTCCCTGAGGTGGTGGGAAAGGGGGAAGGATATTGCACCCTGGGCTGAGTTGGAGAAGAAGTGGGGAGGTGGTCTCTAGGAAGATAAGCTGCTGTTTTAAGGGCTTCAGCCATGTTAGATGGCCATCATAATAATTCAGCAATTCATACTAGGGCCAGAACCTATCAATGGCCAGATCCTGGTTCTCAAACTACGGGCCACGTGCCACCTACGGTACCCAAAGCAAAATGGGAAGAGAGGAAGGTACTGACACACATAATAAATATCAACCTTATTGTAAAAAAAGATTTCTTTTTAGGGTTTTTTTTTTTTTTTTTTTTTTTTTTTCTCCCGGAACTGGGGATTGAACTCAGGACCTTGCCCTTGCCAGGCAAGCGCTTATTCTGTTGAGCTATCTCCCCAGCCCCATTAAGTTTCCTTTTAATTCTTTTGATTATATCAGTTTCTTTTATGTACTATTGACGTCTGAACAACTCCCCACCCTCCCAGTCTGTCTCTTAAATACAGAGGTTCATTGCTTTAGAAAATCATCCACCCATATAACTATATTTATTCTATTTACAAGAAGAATTTCTACCTATGGCCTATAGTCAAAGTGTTCATTTTTTAATGTTTGGTACAGGGTCTCACTACGCAGCTCAGACTCGTAGTGTTCCTCCTGTTTTCAGTCTCCCCAGTGCTGGAATTACAAGCATGCACTACCGTGCCTAGACTCGGTGACCACTCCCAGGGGTGGGGCCGGCTTGGCATGTGGTGCTGGGGATGGAGGAACCCCGTCCCTGTGCTTGCCTAAGCAGGCACTTAGTCCACTGAGCTACGAGAGCTAGCCAGCACCAACATGTTTTTTGTTTTTTTTTTTAAGTAGAGATACAGAATTTTCATGTATGTATGTATGTTTGCTTGTTTTTAAGACAAGATCTTGGGCTGGTGAGATGGCTCAGTGGTCTAGAGCACCTACTTAGAACAAGCTAAGCAAAAGCACAGGGACCGCGGTTCAATCCCCCAGCACCACATGCCAGCCAGCCCTGCCCCCTGGTGGGCTGAGCTGGCCACACACACACTAAATAAATAAATAAATATTAAAAAAAAAAAAAGACAAGGTCTTGCTTAGTTCAGGCTGGCCTTAAACTCACTTTGCTGGCCTTGAACTCATGGCAGTCTTCCCGCCCCCGACTCTCAGGTGCTGGTATTAGATGCATACAACATCATCTGGCTATATCTTGTATTTCAAGATGAGTTCTTGGGGCCCGGGGGTTTAGCTCAGTGGTGCAAAGCCTGCCAGACAAGCACAAGGTCCTGAGTTCCATTTCCAGTACAAAAACGAAAAACAAAAAGTTCACAGAAAAATGAGTGGAGTTAAAAAACAATATTAAGAAATTAAGCTGATGTAATCTTTACACTCAGGACTCTGGTGCAAGAGGGTTGCCTCAAGATCGAGGCCTGGTTGGGTTACATTGTGATTCAAGTCAGCCTGAACTACATAGGACAGCATGTCTCAAAAAAAAAAAACCCAAAAACCAAAAAACAAGACCAGGGAGATAGCTCAGCAGCTTAAGCGCCTGCCTGTCAAGTGCAGGGTCCTGAGTTCAAGCCCCAGTATCACAACATAAAACAACCAAAAAACTAATAGCATAAGTGATAACCTGGATAAAGAAGAAATCAGGATGGAAATGCTCCAACTACCAAAATTCAGTCTGTTGAGCTATCTTGCCAGCCCTAATGTGGTTTTTTTGTTTGTTTTTTTAAACAGAGATACAGATTTTCCATGTAAATGATGCCTGAGATCCAAAGGTTTTCTGTGAATTACTTCAAAACATAGGCCACAGTCAGTTTGGGGCGGTAACTCGGCTGTCTAAGTGCCTGCCTGGTAAGCACAAGGACCAGAGTTCGATCCCCAGTACCACATGCTGTGCCAGCCCTAGAACCCCAGGTATACCATTCAGGCCTCGAAACTGAACGTGGTGGCACATGCCCATAATCCCAGTGCTGGGGAGGCTGAGACAGGAGGATCACTATGAGTCTGAACTGTGTAGCAAGACCCTGTACCAAATAAATAAATAACAACAACAAAACATAGGCCACAGGCCCAAGGATATAGCTCAGTGGCACAGCACCTGCCTGGCAAGCCCAGGGTCCTGAGTTCAATTCCCGGTATCAAAAAGCAAAAATAAAAACTAAACAAAAACAAAGGCCATATAAAATGGGGTGAAGGTGAGCCACACCTTCCTCTTACCATATAAACCATAGCAGCAGCGTTGTCCATCTGAAATGGGGTGTGAAAAGGTCCCTCATTTTGCCTCGGTCTTCCTGTATGAAGACAAGGACATGCTGGTTATTTCCTTCTGCCCAGATCTGTGGGACATGGGCTGATGGCCTGAAATGGGTGCTGACCGTACAGGGGCCCTGAGCAGCTAGGGCCCGAATCTACAGCACTGAAGTGGCCACGGGTTGGAGCCACCCCATACTCCCAACCTGGAACCTGCGAGCTGAGATGCTGAGCCCTCAGGGCTGGGCCTGGGACTCAGGGGCCAAAGGACCCAGGGACTAGGAAACCAGCACAGGAAAGGACCCAGGGACTAGGAAACCAGCACAGGAAGTGTGTAACCACCTCACACACACACACACACACACACACACACACACACAGAGCCCCCCTCCCCCCCAGGCCAGGTCAGGTGACGACAATGAATGTACTAAAAAGCCAACTCACTGCAGGCCAATTTGTCAACAGATTGATTTAGCTAAGTGATTTTTTTGTTGTTGGCAACTTTATGTAATTTAGTGTTTATTAAAAAAATTATCAGGGGCCTGCGAGGTAGCTCAGTGGTCTAAAGCGCTTGCTTAGGCAAGCTTAGGCAAGCAGGCAGGGACCACAGTTCAATCCCTGGCACCACATGTTGCACCAGCCTGGCCCCCAAGGAGGGCTGAGACCACCACAAAAACAAAACAAAACCCTACTTAGTAAGACCTTGTCAAAAAAAAAAAAAAAAAAAAAAAAAAGAAAAAGAAAAAAGAAAGAAAGAAAGAAAGAAGAAAAACAAAATGCCAAAACAGGCAATAGGGGTATTAGATTGTCTATGAATATTGTTTCCAGGAGTAAAAACACCTGTGTAATATAGTATTTTAATTTTTTTTTTATTTCTATAGGTTTGTAGTGTGCAATGTTTATATTCTTGTGGAGAATTGGCACATGTACATAACCCATTATAATTCCTTTTCTTCATCCCTTTTTCATTCCCTTCTTCCCCTTCCAACCAACTTTTGATCCCTGTTATAGTTTCTGTCTGAATGACCTTCCCAGAGCCTCAGGCGCTCGTGGTGGGGCTTTTGCCAGGTGAACGTATCACAGGTGCCTGGTACTCATCAGTAGATCCGCTGACCCCGAGTCTATAACTTAATATGAGGTTGGCAGGGAAGCCTGATTGGAGGAGGTGGGGCACTGGGGGCGTGGCCTCGAAGGGTGTATCTTTCTCCTCCTTCCTCCCTGGCCTTCTCCCACCACCGACTGGAACATTTGCAAACTGTGAGCCAAAATAAATCTCTTCTTTAATTTGTGGGTGTCAGGTATTTTGTCCTATCAGTGAGAAAGTACCTAAGAGAATGCCCTTGCTTTTGTAGTCTTTGTGTATGTGTGTGTGTTATATTTCTTTTATTTATTTATTATTATTTTTTAATGTATTTGGTTGTTACAGGGTCTCATTATGCAGCTCTGACTCATAGTGATCTTCCTGTTTACAGCCTCCTCAGCCCGGGGATTACAGGTATGCATCACTATGCTCAGACTTTGGCCTGCTTAGCCCACCCTGGGGGTGAGGCTGGCATGGCGTGTGGTGCTGGGGATCGAACCACAGACCCTGCACTTGCCTAAGCAGGTGCTTTAGTCCATTGTGCTATCTCGCCAACCCTGTGTGATATATTTCTGAAGACAAGACCAGCTGGGGACGTAGCTCAGTGATAGTGTCTGTCTGGCATGCTAGAGGCTCTGGGTTCCATGCCCAGTACCACTAAAATTTTTTTTTAATTATTAAATGTGCTTACTGATTATATCTGGAGAATTTTTGCAGTTATTAACTACATCTGAGAAAGTTCATATTTTCTTATTATATTTTGGAACAGATTCATTAATATATTTAGAAAGAGATTCATTGATGCATTTATAAAAATAATATATTGATGAGCAACTGTATTAATATATATAGGAAAATGTAAAAAGAATAATTCTTTTATTTTTTATTTTTTTGGCAGAACCGAGGATTGAACTCAGGCCCTTGTGCTTGCCAGGGAAGCGCTTATTCACTGAGCCATCTCCCCAGCCCAAAAAGAATAATTCTTAAAACATGGTTTTGCAAATCAGGACTGGTGAGTTAGTTTAGCAGACTAAGCACCTGCTTAGGCAAGCACAGGGACTGGGGTTTAATCCCTGGCACCACATGCCACGCCAGCCTTGCCCACTGGCCACTCTGAGCTGGCCACAGTGACCAGGCATGGTGGCGCACATCTGTAATCCCAGTGCTGGGGAGGCTGAAAACAGGAGGATCACTATGAGTTCAAGCTGCATAGTGAGACCCTATACCAAAGAAAGAAAAAAAAAAAGAAAGAAAAAAAGTAAAAAAGAAGAAAGGAAGAAGAAAGAAAGAAAGAAAGAAAGAAAGAAAGAAAGAAAGAAAGAAAGAAAGAAAGAGAAAGAAGAATACATTTAGCAGGTATATATGGAGAACTGGCTTTTGGTGAGCTGGTGTCTGTCTCTTCCTCTCTTGGCTTGCCTGCCTCCTGGAGCCCGCCTGGGCCACCAGAGGAGGATGGAACTGTTTCCACGGTCTGGCTGGCCCTGGCTGCAGTGCCAAAGGGTGTGTTCTGCCCCTGCTGGTTTCCCTGCTGTAACCAGAGAACCACAATCCCATCATACACATAGAATCCTGCTGCGAGGTGCCCCAGAACATGGAGGGCAGGACATACAGTGACACCCACAAGTGGGGTGTCCATCATTAGAACTGGGGACACGCACCACCACTTGCATTGTTCACACAAGCATTTTCATACAGGGATGGGACGCTCCCCAAAGGGGACCAAATAGGCCCCTGCACAACAGCTCTTTGGGACATCCCCTCTGCCAGGTCTCTGGCCCCCAGAGTAGACTTGGGCTAGGCCTCATGCCCTCTGTGTTGTCAGGCCATTCCAAACACCTTCTTCCAAGCTGATGAAATTCCATTCAGTTATTGGGACATAATATAGAAACAAATACAATTTTATCTTGAAAGATAATTTCTTTATACGGTCTGTCGTCTGCTTAAGGATATTTGCCACATTTCTCCAATCTGCTTGGTGATTCTTTTTTATTTTTTGGAGCAATAGGAATTGAACTGAGGGCCTTCACATTACACTTGATCTTAGCCAAAAGGCCGAGAAGCGATAGGGCCTTCACATTGAGCAGTACTCTTAGCCCCTTTTTATTTTTAATTGAGATAAAGCCTTGCTAAGTTGCCCTGGCTGGGCTTGACCTTGCCATCCTCCTGCCTCAGCTTCCCACAGGTGCTGGGATGATCGGTGTGCTCCACCCCCTCTTGGCAGATTAGATGGTTCTGGAGGAAAGAGGCTACAGCCTTAAAGCTATATCCTTTCTTCCTTTGTGTGCAGGGTCAGTGCTGACAGGTGCTTTTGGGGGTTTCCTGATGGTCTTACCAGGGAATTAGCGCAGCATCTGGTAAGGACGCCTACAAAGGGCAATTTGACCCTAGGCATACCGGCATTACTCTCAATTCCTCTGTTATTTATTTGTTTACGCTGGGTATCAGGCCCAGGTCTCTGCAAAGGCTAAGCATGTGCTCTACCACCAAAGCACTTCAACCTGGAAGGAGCTCGTATCAGACATCTCCTGCCCATCAAGTATAGTTGCTAATCAGACTTCATCAGGGCCAAAAGGCAAAACCAAACAGAAGCCATTACAGGACCTGTTTGTAGACATAACATTCCTCTGATCCCGGGCTAAGTTATCTAGGTAACATGTAGAGCTTGAAAGCAGAAACAAGGAATGGAGTTGCCAAGTTCCCCTCGCTGGTCCTGCCTACCACACCTCTGCAAACAGTATGGGCAAGTGGAACTGTGAAAGTTGGGTCCCCCCTCTACCCTGCAGACAAATGGCTTCCTCAAACTTTGTCAAACCTAGGGCATAATCCAACCCCCAACCCCCACCTCTCCTGAGCCCAGAGGAATGGACAGAATATTCAGATGCTGACATCAGGAAGTCAAAGCCAGTGTCATTTCCTTAGTCAAGGATGGAGAGGTAGGGGTCCAGGGAGAGCTGAAACAAGCCTGAACCTGTGTATCATCTCACTGTATTCCCTCATGGCACTGTTCTTGGCTATAAAAGACTCCCATACACCTGCCACAGCCGGATGGTGATTTGAGGCAAATGGGGCCCCGCTATCTCCTCTGAGCTACCTTTGAATAAATCTTTTCATCAAAATAAATGGGCTACCTTGATTTGGTCAATGGTGAGCAAAGGAGCTGGAGCCTATGAATCTAAGCGGCCATCGCACCCTGCCCACACCGTGTACGCACATGCGGTCCCCACCCAGGGGACACACGCTCGCTCATGCATGTCCCCATGCACGCACACAGTCACACCGCCCGGGACAGTGGGAGCGGGCGCTGACCTGTCTGGAGATGATGAGCTTCCCGAGGGGCATGGGCGCTCCATTCTCTGTCGCTATTCTTTTCAAGGTGGCAATTGCCTTTTCCTGGTTCCCGGACAGCACATCGTATCTCGCACTCTCTGGCAGCCACTGGGGGCACAGGAGAGCCAGGTGTGGCTGGTGAGCATAGAACGGAATGCTCCCCACCAGCTGTACACTCTCATTTCTGTGGGGGTCTTTAAGGACAAGGTCTCTGGAGCCAGCATGCTGGCTTCACATCCTGGCTTTGTCATCTGTTAGGTGGTTGTGTGACCCTGTGCTAGGCGTAGACCTCTCTGAGGTGGGAGTAACAGTGGACCTACCTCTAAGAGTTGTTGAGAGCATTAAGTGGTATAATTCAGGCCAAGTGCTTTGTGCAGTGCCTGGTATGGGTTAGTTCTTTATTGTCATTGTCACCTGCTGCTATCATTTCAGAGTTCCAGGGAAGGGTTGAGTTAAATGTGGCAACCATTAAGAATGGCATCCCCAACTGTCCACAAACTCTATCTCACCTGTGTTCAGCACTGTCTGGCAAACTCAGTCTGAGAGAGAGAGAAAGAAATCAGAAAGAACTTTAAACTTAATGGAGTCCCAACTCCAAGTGACTAGATACACACATTTCTATAAAAGGAAGCAACAGTGATCTATAAAACAGCAGGGAGTCAGAAGATCTGGTTCAAATTAGAGTTCTGGTGCTTATGTAGCATATGCCCTTGGACCAGTCAAGCAGCCTCTCTAGGCCTCAGTTTCCTCATCAGTGAAAGAAGGATGTAGCAAAGATTGCTAATGTCCACCAAAGTTCAATCTTCTCTTACTATAATATAGAGGCAACCTTGTATATGGCTGCCCTGCAATGGACTACATTTCCCAGCTTCCCTCACAGTTAGGTGAGACCATGTGACTTGCTCTCATGAATAGGATGTAATCAGACTATCTTTGGCCAACATATATAAGAAATGGATATGCAATCTTTACTTCCCTTCCCTATTAGCTGCATGTAAAAGATTCCAAAGCCTTACAGAATGGCAGAGCCACAAGCTGGAAAGAAAACCTGGGCCCAGAATTCACTTGTCAATCAAAAAGAACTCTTATTCTCAATAAAAAAGAATGATCATTCTCAAAATTGCAGTGAGAAATAGACTCTTGCTGTATTAAAGCTACACCGTTTGTGAGCTTCGTTTGTTACAGGAACCCGTGTCATCCTAACTAATACAGAGGTTCACTGTAGTCCTACACCTCATGATTATTGGGAGGAATACACATAACAGTGTTGTGAAGAGACTCACAGAACCTGTCACACAGTGAAGCTCAGTAACGAGTAATTTCTATTGTGATTACCAGGAAATACTGTAGTATCTACCATACATAGGGACTGTCCATTTCAAGGCTGAATCAGGGGCCCTGCTGGCTATAATGTTTCACGTATGTGTCCTACACATGAAGTGATGTGGGTGTGGAATGATCTTGGTGGACCGTCTGGCTGATGCTGAGCTGAGATGGAGAGATCTTTGGAACTCCTGGATTCTAGTGAATCCTCTGTTGTGTATCTGTCCCTCTGTTTTGCTCAAGCCCCTTTGAATTAGGGTTCTGTCACTTGTAACTTATGAGGCACAGTGAGTCCAAAAGGGTGACTTGAAATGTAGCTCTGGCAGTGATGGTGGGCCTCTGCAGTCCCCATCCCAGCCCTCTCTGTAGAGAGCACCTCGGAAGTGTCTGTCCGCAGGAGCACCAACACCACACCCTAGAACTACACAGACCTCATTCCCCTGCCTCATCTCCTGATTTAAAAAACAAACAAAGAAAAAGGGGTATAGAGATGAATCTTTGCCCATCAAAGCACAAAGTGAAAGGCCAGGTAGGAAAAGAGGCCCCTTAAAAGATACCTACGAAACACAGCACAGCGAAGAGGAGGAGCGGGACAGCCGAGAGGATGAGCAGCCAGCGCCAGCCCAGGCTGGGCATCACGAACACGGCCAGGATGACCTCGAACACTGTCCCGATGGCCCAGAAGACCTAGCACAGGAAAAGCAGGGTCAGAGGTGGAGTGGGACAGTGCACACAGTGAGCGGCTGCTGGGTCATGCAGGGCCAGGGTCTTCATGGGGGAAGTAAGGGCAGGAAGGTCCTAAGGGCCATCCTTTTCCTGTCATCCATAAGGCTGGGCAAAGGAACCACCTTCTGAGAGAGCGTCTCCATCATAGAGTATCTACGTGGTGTTTGAGACCACTCAGCGTCATATTTACAGGTGTCCTAGAGGCCTGTCCACACTGTATAATTTCTTTTGTTGCATTAGGGATTGAATCAGGGCCTTTGCACTGCTCTACATCTATCTATCTATCTATCTATCTATCTATCTATCTATCTATCTATCTTTCTGTCTATCTATCTATCTATCTATCCATCCATCCATTTATCCATTTATCCATCTATCTTTCTATTTACTTTGACAGAAGGTGATGTTAAGTCCTTAGGCTGCCCTGGTGGGATTCGAACTTGCTATCCTCCTGCCTCAACCTTCCAACTTCAACCTGGGATTTCAGGTGTGTGCCACCATGCCTGGCTCACACTATATAATACTTTCATGGTGCCCGTTGATGTTTGCAATTTGGCAGCTCTGCCAAGGAAACTAATACCATCGCTAGTAGGTGACATCCATGTGTTAGCGGCTACACTGAGAGATTTTGATTATTTTTTCCCCCAGTTACTTATTGTACAGGACATAGTATAAAAGTTGTTGCTATAACCATTTTTATACACTTTGGTGGTGTTAAATACATTTATTTGTTTATTTACTTATGGCACCGGGAATTGAACTCAGGACCCTGCACTTGCCAGGCAGGCATTTATTCTACTAGGTATCTCTCCAGCCCTAAATACATTTAAATATTGCGCAGGGCTGGGGATTTAGCTTGACGGCACAGTGCCTGCCTGGCAAGTGTGAGGTCCTGAGTTTGATTCCCACCCCCACCCCAAATTGTGCAATGACCATTACTTTCTATCTCCAGAGCTTTTTTTAATCTTGCAAAGCAAAAACTCTATCCATACTCCTCTTGCCCCACTCCTAGAAATCCCTATTCTACCTTCTGCAACTAGATTGAAGGGCCAGGTAGGAAAGGAGGCCCCTTAAAAGATGCCTGTGAAACACAGCACTGGGATACTGAGTATTCTAACTACCTTATATAAGTGTAATTGTATAATATTTGTCTTTTTTGTGTCTGGATCACATTAATTATTTAACATAATCTTAAATAATGTCCTCATCCAAGTTGTAGCTTGTATCAGAATTTCCTTCCTTTTTAAGGCTGAGTAATATTCCATTGAATGGATCACAGTTTTCATATCTATGCATTCCGTAGGCACCTGGGTTGTTTTCTCAATGTAGCTACTTGCATAATGTCACTGTGCACAGGGCTACATACATGGACACCCATGATTTTGTCTGCTCACATCCACCTCCGTCTCGCTCACCTAACACTGCCCTGGTTCCCCTCTTCCCTATGGGGCTAACTTCTCTGCCCGTCCAAGTCACTCTCCAACCTTTTCTACCTTCTCATGGATTTTATCAGTCCAGATCTTTGCATGGATCCCAGGAGCTCCCTGTATGCTGGCTTCTCACTGGGTGCAGCCAACAGGGAGCCCAGCAGGAGCAGAGAAGGAGAGAAAGGGGAGCGTCCTGGGGTGTTTATTCCCCTGGCTCTCACCCACAGGGTGGTCATGGGTCACATGTCCTCGGCAGAAGCCCTCCTCCTACAACTCTCTGAGCTGCTGATTACCCAATCTGATTGCCCCGTCAGGCCTGGAATGGAAAGAACCTGCAGGGTCTGTAAAAATAGTGCCACCGTTAAGCCCCCCTCAAATGGTGATGAGTTGAGTATGCTATTTCTGTCTGGGACCTCTACTGTCCATTTCAAACGAGCCTCTATCATAAATTTTAGAGTCTCAGAAGCTTCCTAAATCCCCTTTGCTTAAAGAGAACCCCATTCTGCTTTCTGTTGCTGACAATCAAAATGCCCTTAGTCATTAGCGATGCATCCCATCTGGGCTCGGAATGAACTCTTTCATTGCTAGAACATGGGACACTCTAAGGGGTCCTAGGAGAGGACAGGATGCTAGATGAGGAGGTGCTTTCAAGGTTTAGGATCAGCTGGCCCAGATTCACTTTGATATTTAAAACACCTGACTCACGTGTAACAGCGTGGATAGACTGACTGTCACCCTCCCTGGACAGAAGTGGATGCCGTCAGGATGGCTGGGTTGGGCTTTGGGGTCAAAATGATCAATATTCTCCACGCAGTCACAGGGACTGAGGAGGTCTGAGTGACTGTGTGGTTGATACTGTGGACATCAGTGTCCAGAAGAGGCAAACAAACCATCCTGTCTCTGCAAGGAGGGGTCCACCAGGCAGCTTCCTGGGGGCCCGTTAGGTGGCTGCAAGGAGCGTGGATGTAGCAGCAATGTGTTCCCCTTGAGACTTCTCAGCTTATGGCTGGGAAGTGGGCCACAGGCCTCCATCAGATGGTTCAGGGGACTGACAGCTTTAACGCAGCCCTGCGGGCACAGAAATGGACAAGAGGGGAGATGGCTTCCGAGGTCTGGGCCATTCTGGGTAAGAACAGGAGCAGAGGGTTATCGAATTTGTAGCGGGTAGGAATTTGCACCATGCACACTGCATCGGTCAACACCAACTCTCAGATCAAAGCCACTTCCAGTTGAAGGAAGTACCACCTGCCTGCTACCAGGTTTTAAAGGGAGGATTGATCTGATTTTCTTGTCAGCTGAGGAATTTTCCATAATGCCAAACAGCCAAGTCTGGATTTACATAACGGATCCATTTAAGTCTTGTGAACTGAGCCTGTTCTTCTCCTTTCTTTCTTTCTTTCTTGTCTGGATTTACATAACGGATCCATTTAAGTCTTGTGAACTGAGCCTGTTCTTCTCTTCAACTCCCTTTCTCTTGTCCTGTGGCTCAGGATATATGGGATCTGAGGCCAGAGAGTCAGAATTCTCTATAGAGATCCAACCACCCTCCTCCTTACCTCAATCAGCAAAATACATTTGGCTCTGGCTTTCATGGGAAGGAACTCGGCGTACAGCGTCACCCTGGGCAAACAAAGAGATGGATGGGGTGAAGGTGGGAACCAGTGGGAAGGTGGCTGCAGGTTTCTGAATTTCTAACACAACCTTCCGCCCAGAGTGATTGCTGGGTGGCTTGCATGGGAATTTCCTGGGATGACGGCTAAATATAGAGATCCTTGATCTTCAGAAACAGGCTCGCAGGGACAGGGCCCTGAGACCTGCATTTTTAACTAACTTCCCCGATTATTCTCAAATTGTATAACTGCTTTTATTGAGCCCTATCTCCAGCGAGTGAGTATAGAGAAAACCAGTACAGGAGGAAATCAAGTCCTGGCTTTACGGGCAGCTTTGTTCTAGAGCAGTTTGCTTTCCCTCCTGTCCTTAAACAGGCTGAAGGAGGACAGGCCTCTTTTTCTGCCATCCTGGTCCTTTGACATTTGGCTGTGCATCCTTGGCAGAACATCACAGAGTTGGAGCTCAGGTCTTCTGAGTACATCACTGCGGGAGCAGGTGATGCCATCTTGCCCTCTAACTAGGGACATTAATCTTCAGTGCTTTAAGTTGGTGGCTGAAAGATTTCCCTACCCTACATTACTATTGTTTTCCATTTGTGTTTAAAGTACTTTGGGAGGAACTCTTCAAGAAAATGCCAATATTCTGTTCCCTGTGGAGTTGCTTTGTACCAGCTTTAGCCCTGTCTGGCTAGTTTTTGCCTAAATCAGCTACTGGGATGAGGGCAACAATGGTATTTAAAATTTTCTGGGACCCTGAATGCGCTTCAGTATCTGAGCACTTGCCCCTCCAATGTGAGGCCCTGAGTTTAATCTCTAGATCACAGTACTGAGAAAACCAGCCATCCGGCACTCGGAAGGCTGAGGCAGAAAGATCTGCATGAGTCTGAGGCAGCCCCGGCTGCACAGCAAAGTGCATAGTGAGAACGTGTCTCAAAAAATAAATAAATAAATAAATAAATAAATAAATAAATCTCTATAATGTCTTTTTCATTTATTACTTAATAGTCTATGGTAAGGAAGAGGTTTCCCTCCTCCCCCTTGTGCGTTTATGGATTTGTTTACTTAGTATAGATTTGTAGATTCCTGTCTTTTGTTGTTGTTTTGTTTTTTTTGTTTGTTTTGTTTTGTTTTTTTGTGGCAAAACTGGGGATTGAACTCAGGCCCTTGTGCTTGCCAGGGAAGTGCTTATTCCACTGAACCATCTCCCCGGCCCCCACGATTCCTGCTTTATGCAGTGATGTGTAACTCATCACGATTTTGAGCCTCAGACTGTCCCCAATCCGGCCAGTGACTCCTGTTGACTTTCTGATGTGCTGCCACCATCCTTGAGCTTCTCTTGCTGCCGTAACAGGGCGTCCAGCTCGTCTGTTGCCCGTCATGGGAGTCCGTCACTTTTCCTTCCCCCTCTGGTGGAGCTTAGAAACCACAATCTGGGTGTCCAATGTGTTCGTCATCCTGGGAGTGTCACAGCCTCTAGATGCTTGCGGTGGACACAGCTGCGAGAGAGCTCGGTGTCTGTCAGCCTCTGGTTACACAGTTATATCTATCACCTATTTGTCTACCTACCACCTAACTGTCTGTCTGTCTGTCTGTCTGTCTGTCTGTCTGTCTGTCTGTCTGTCTATCTTCTCTCTCTTCTTTTGTTGTTGTTGTTGTTTGTTTTTTTGGGACAGGGTTTCACTAAGTTGCTAAATTGCCTAGCAGACTGAGGTCAGACTCAGACTTCCAATCTTCCTGTCTCAGCCTCCCAGAGTGCTGAGATTATAAACACGCCTGACTTCTCGCTTTCCTTGTGCATGCCATATTATCTATATCTATTTCAATATTTCTTTGCACATATATTTATTTTAAAAACATGAGGCAAGGGCTGATGGTATAGCTCAGCAGATTAAGCGCTTGCTTAGGTAAACACAGGGGCCAGGGTTCGATCCCTGACACTGCCAGCCACTCTGGCCCTGCTCCTGGGCATGCTGAGCTGGCAATGGAATCCAGGTGTGGTGGCGCATGCCTGTAATCCCAGCACTAGGGAGGCAGGAATCAGGAGGATCACTACGAGTCCGAGCTGTGTAGTAAGACCCTGCACAAATAAATAAATATAAAAATAAAATAAAAAGCATAAGTCAATACTGGTATTTTGTGTATTTGGTACAGGGTCTCACTATACAGCTTGGACTTGTAGTGATCCTCCTGTTTTCAGCCTCCCCAGTGCTGGGATTACAGGTATGCGCCACCACATTGGGTCTTGGTGGCCAGCTTAGCACACCCGGGGGTGTTGCTGGGGATCAAACCCCGGTGCCTGTGCTTGCCTAACCATGCACTTAGTCTACTGAGCTATCTCACTGGCCCAATACTGGTATTTTAAATTCTTAGAGTTCTTTCTAACCTTCCCAGTTTCCATGTTTGTAATTCCTGTCCATAATGAGAAATCTGGGCCTCATTAGCCACAATATGATTACTTATTTGCTCAATATAACCAAAGTTATATTGAGCTGCTTGCTCCCTCCCACGCCCCCCCCCCCCCCACCCCCACCACTTCACTTCCTCAGCCTGTGAGCTTGCCAGAGAGTCTGGCAGGGTGGAACATGCCTGTGATCCCAGGACTCTGGGAGGCTGAGGCAGGAGCATCAGAAACTTTAGCTCATCCCGGGAAGTATAGCAACTTAGTGAGAACCAGTTTCAAAATAAAAATTAAAAGAGGGTGTATGTGTGCTGGTGATATAGCTTGAGCAAAGGGAGACTAATTTCCTCTCTTGAGACAGCTGGTGCTGGTGTCCCATTTAGGCTACCCAGGCCCCTCTTGGGTCATTATGGACGCTCCACAGCTGCTGCCAGCACTCCTACCCGCAAGCCACTCTGAAGATGACGCCTGGGCACCTAGAGCTGCCTCACCACAAGCTACCCAGGAGTGACCCCTTGTCCCCGTCGCAGGATGCACATCAGTGTGGGCACAAAGGGTCCACTCCCTTGTCTCAGAGTGAGACAACCACTGTGGCAATGAACACCCCTGAGAAGGCCGGAACAATTCATCTCTTGAATGCATTCAGTTGAAGAGTTTGTCTCTGGATACGTGTACTAAAACCAAAAGCTGAAACATCCATGTTCGTTAACAGGATATTGTTCTCATATACCCAGAGAGATGGAATTGAAAGCATTGTGGGGCTGGAGAGATAGCTCAGTGGACTAAAGCGCCTGCTTAGGCAAGCTTAGGCAAAGCGCGGGGACCGTGGTTCAATCCTGATCCCTGGCACCACATGCCACGCTAGCCCCATCCTAAGGGCAGACTGAACCAGCCAGAGTCTGGGGGTGGTGGTGCGTGCTTATAATCCCAGCACTGGGGAGGCTGAAGTCAGGAGGATTGCCAGGAGTCTGAGCTGAGTGATGAAACCCTGTAACAACCAAATACATAAAAACAAAAGAAAAGAAGAAAGAGAAGAGAAGAGAAGAGAAGAGAAGAGAAG